CTATAAACCAAACATGCATACTAATTCAAAAACATCATATGAACTTATCTGTGCGATCAAATCGCCAAAATAAAATCTTAAAAAATGAATTTAGCATAAAAATCTAAGAAAAATCTCAAAATTTTTAAAGTAACAATTTTCACAACTACGGGTGCGAATCACATCAAACGACTTCCGTTTCTTACCAAATTTTAAAGGCTCAACTTAAACCACATATAAGACCTATACTGGGCTCCAGAACCAAAATACGGGCCTGGTACCATCAACTTCCAAAACATTTTTCATTTCTAAAAACTCATATATATTTCAGAAAGCAATTTTCTTTAAAATTTTATTTCTCGGGCTTGGGACCGTGGAATTAAATTTTGGGAATACACCCAAGTCCCATATTTTCCTACGGACCCTAGAGGACCATCAAATCACGGGTCCGGATCCGTTTATCCAAAATATTAACCGAAATCAACTTAAATTTATTTTAAAGGCAAAATTCATTATTTTTCACAGATTTTTACATAATGGCTTTCCAGCTACGCGTACGGACTGCGTACGCAAATTGAGGTGAAACTGAAAGAGGTTTTTAAGGCCTCAAAATATAGAATTTTATTTCTAAAATAAGTGATGACCCAAAAGGGTCATCACATTCTCCACTTCTAAAACAAATGTTCATCCTCGAACTGACATAAGAAGGAAGTATCTGAGTCGGGGAAAAGATGGGGATAACGGCTCCGCATATCGGACTCGAACTCCCAGGTCGATGCCTCAGCAGGTTGACCTCTCCACTAAACACGAACAGAAGTTAAACTCTTCGATCTCAACTGACAAACATGCCGGTCTAGAATAGCTACCGGCTCCTCCTCATAGGACAAGTCCTTGTCTAACTAGACAGTGCTGAAATCTAACACGTGGGATGGATCGCCGTGATACTTCCGAAGCATGGACACATGAAACACTAGATGCACGGTTGATAAGCTCGGTGGCAATGCAAGTCTGTAAGCCACCTCTCCCACTCGATCAAGAATCTCAAACAGGATAATGAACCTAGGGCTAAGCTTGCCCTTCTTTCCAAATCTCATCACGCCCTTCATAGGCGACACCCGAAACAATGCCCGCTCACCGACCATGAAAGCCAAATCATGAACCTTACGGTCGACATAACTCTTTTTGCCTGGACTGAGCTATACGAAGCCTATCCTAAATAATCCTGACCTTATCCAAGGCATCCTGCACTAGATCAGTACCCAACAACCGAGCCTCTCCCGGCTCAAACCATCCAACTGGCGACCGATATCGCCTACCATACAAAGCCTCATACGGAGCCATCTAGATGCTCGACTGGTAGCTGTTGTTGTAGGCAAACTCTGCTAAAGGCAAAAATGGATCCCACGAGCCTCCAAAGTCAATGACACAAGCTCGGAGCATATCCTCCAAAATCTGAATGGTCCGCTCGGACTGCCCGTTCGTCTGAGGATGAAACGCTATGCTCAAATCAACCCGTGTACCCAACTCTCGCTGAACTGCTCTCCAGAAATGTGAGGTAAACTGCGTACCTCGATTAGAAATGATAGACATGGGCACACCATGAAGACGAACAATCTCCCGGATATAGATCTCAGCTAACCTCTCGGAAGAATAGGAGACTGCCACATGAATGAAATGTGCTGACTTGGTCAGCCTATCAACAATAACCCACACTGCACCGTACTTCCTCTGAGTCTGTGGGAGTCCAACAACGAAGTCCATAGTGATACGCTCCCACTTCCACTTAGGAATCTCAATCTTCTGGAATAAACCACCAAGCCTCTGATGCTCGTACTTAACCTGTTGACAATTCAAACACCGAGCCACATATGCAATGATATCCTTATTCATTCTTCTCCACCAATAATGCTGCCGTAGATCCTGATACATCTTCGCTGAGCCCGGATGAATAGAGTACCGGGAACTGTGGGCCTCCTCTAAAATCAACTCTCGAAGCCCATCCATGTTTGGCACACAAACTCAACCCTGTAGCCTCAAAAAATCCATCATCTCCTAAGGTAACCTGCTTGGTACTTCCGTGATGCACCATGTCTCTAAGGACACACAAATGAGGATCATCATACTACCGACCTTGGATACGCTCCAATAAAGAAGAACGAGCGATTGTGCAAGCTAACACCCGATTGGGCTCAGAAATATCCAACCTCACGAACTGATTGGCCAAAGCCTGAACATCCAAAGCAAGTGGTCTCTCACCAACCGAAATATAATCAAGATTGCCCATACTGGTTGTCTTCCTACTCAAAGCATCGACCACCATATTGGACTTTCCCGGATGATATAAGATGGTGATATCATAGTCTTTCAACAGTTCCAACCACCTTCTCTGCCTCAAATTTAGCTCCTTCTACTTGAACAAATACTGCAGACTCTTGTGATCCGTGAATACCTCACATGCCACACCATACAGATAATGCCTCCAAATCTTCAACGCGTGAACAATGGTTGCCAACTCCAAGTCATGAACCAGATAGTTCTTCTTATGAATCTTCAACTACCGCGAAGCATAGGCTGACCTTGCCATCCTGCATCAATACCACACCAAGTCCAATACGAGATGCATCACAATAAAAAGTATATGGCCTTGAATCTGTGGGCAAAACCAACACCGGTGTCATAGTCAAAGCTGTTTTGAGCATCTAAAAGCTCGTCTCACACTCGTCCGACCACCTGAACTGGGCACCCTTCTGGGTCAACCTGGTCATCGGGGCTACAATAAATGAAAACCCCTCCACAAATCGATGATAGTAGCCTGCCAAACCCAAGAAACTCCAGATCTCTGTAGCTGATGCGGGTCTAGGGCAGTTCTCGACTGCCTCTATCTTCTTCGGATCAACCTGAATACCCCTTTTTGATATAACATGACCCAGGAATGCAACTGAACTCAACCAGAACTCACACTTCAGAAACTTAGCGTACAACTGACTATCTCTCAAAGTCTGAAGAACCACTCTAAGATGTTGCTCATGCTCCTCCCGGCTGCGGGAATAGATCAAAATATCATCAATGAAGACTATCATGAACGAATCCAAGTAAGGCCTAAACACTCAGCTCATCAAATCTATAAAAGCTACTAGGGCATTTGTCAACCCGAATGACATCACCAAGAACTCATAATGCACGTACTGAGTGTGAAAAGTTGTATTAGGGACTTCGGATGCCCTAATCCTCAACTGATGGTAGTCAGATCCCAAGTCAATCTTTGAAAATACCTTGGCACCTTGATGCTGATAAAAAAAATCATCAATCCTCGGCAATGGATACTTATTCTTGATTGTAACCTTGTTCAACTACCGATAATCTACACACATTCGTATCAATCCATCCTTCTTCTTAACAAACAACACCGGCGCACCCCAAGATGAGACACTAGGTCTATTGAATCCTTTCTCAAGCAAGTCTTGTAACTGCTTCTTCAATTCTTTCAACTCAGGCAGGGCCATACGATACAGCGGAATAGAAATGGGCTGAGTGCCCGGAGCCAAATCAATGCAGAAGTTAATATCCCTGTGAGGTGGCATACCTGGTAGGTCTGAAGGAAATACCTCAGAAAACTCACGGACAACAGGCACAAAATCAATAAAAGGAACCTTGGTGTTAGAATCACAAAAATATGCCAAATAGGCCAAACACCCCTTCTCGACCATACGTCAAGCCTTCATATATGAGATGACACTACGAGTAGAATGACCAGGAGTCCCTCTCCACTCTAAACGAGGCAAACCTAGCAAGGTTAAGGTCATAGTCTTGGCATGACAGTCCAAGAAAACGTGGTAAGGTGATAACCGGTCCATCCCCAATATGACATCGAAATCAACCATGTCCAGAAGTAACAAATCTACATGAGTCTCAAGACCCCCAATTACAACTATACATGAACGATGGACACGATCTACCATAATAAAATCACCAACCGATATAGACACATATGTAGGAGCACTCAAGGAATCACCAGGCATGACGGTGCAAAATAAGATGACTCATATGAGTATGTAGATCCTGGATCAAATAGAATTGAGGCATCTCTACTACAAACCAGAACAATACTTGTACCTCCACCTCTAGCACCTCTACCTCCACCTCTATCTAGCTGAGCAAGCTGAATGAGTCCCTCAATGAACCTCCTCACTCTCTCTCTCTCGGTAGGAAGTATAAGTAGAGCATGGTGGTTCAAATCAATAAATCTGGTCTCGTATTGAGTAATAATCATAGAACCATGTTGGAGACACTCAAACTGCCTCCGATAGATTTCTCTCTGAGTGACAGGAAGAAACTTCTCCAGAAATAGCTGAGGAAACTGATCCCAAGTCAAAGCTGGTGACCCCACTGGTCTAGCCAAACAATAATCTCTCCACCAAGTCTTGGCAGATCTAGACAAGCGAAAAGTAGCAAAGTTGACCCCATTGGTCTCCACTATCCCCATGTTCCTGAGAACCCCGTGACAACTGTCTAAATAATCCTGGGGATCCTCATAAGATGCATCGCTGAAAGAGGTAGTGAAACGCTTGGTGAAGCTTATCCAACCTCCACAAAGCCTCCGAAGACATAACTAATCTATTACCGGGCTGCTACTACTCGGCTGAAGACGCGGTACATGACCTCACCATTCGCGAAAGGACAAGAGTAGAGGTTCCAATTAGCATTGAGAGAACAAAATCGCACGACATGAAAAGATAGATGTGAAGTTTCCTAACTCTGTGGCCTCTGGGGGATAAATACAGACGTCCCTGTACCGATCCTTCAGACTCTACTAAGCTTGTCTATGAATTGTGAGACCTATGTAACCTAGACCTCTGATACCAACTTGTCACAACCCGGATTTTCCACCCTCAGGAGTCGTGATGACGCCTACTTGTGAAAGCTAGACAAGCCAACCATTTGAACAATTTACCTTTTTCCAATTTTTAATCCTTTAATAATTATGAACCAACAGTTTATAAACAGCAGAATTCAAACAAGCGGAAGAAACGAATAAAATCATTTAAATATTTCCAATACAATACGTTAAACAAATACTACCCAAAACTGGTGTCACAACTTCACAAACGGTCTAGGAATACTACAAACAAGGTCCAAAAATAAATACAACCCTGTTTCTGAATTACATAAATGAAACAGGATGAAAGGATGGAGGGAGATGCCAGGGAATGCGGACGCCTATAGGGCTATCTTGGATCTCCGAATAGACTAAAGGCAGCCACCCAAAGCTACGGTCTAAAAGTTGTTGTACCGGGACCTGCACACAGTGCAGAGTGTAGTATCAGCACTATCGACGACCCCATGTGCTGGTAAGTATCGAGCCTAACCTCGGCGAAGTAGTGATGAGGATAGGACAAAACTATCAACTAAACTTGTGCAGTTAAAACATATACATAGCAAGTAATAATAAAGGAAACTAGCAGTTAAAGATGGGAAGGGGACATGCTGTGGGGGAATATCATTTACCAATAGTAACTCAGGAGAAAAGCATAAAGAACAATTTAAAATTTGCAACAGAAAGAATAAGGAAATAGTAACAAATCAATATCCACCTTTATCCTTTATTGTTGCGGTGCGCAACCCGATCCAAATCATAAAACACTGTTATAGCGTGCAATCCGATCCATATCACATATCATTGTTGCGGCATGCAACCCTATCTGAATATAATATTGTTGCGGCATGCAATCCGACCCAAATATAATATTTTTACGGCGTGCAACCCGATCCAAATATAATATTATTGCGGCGTACAATCCGATCCCAATATACAATTCAACACCAATCACAAAGGAGCCCTAACAAGGGAAAAATAAGGGAACGACAATATCCCGGCAAGGGAATCAATAACATCATAGTAAAATCAAGTAACAACAAAAAATCAGTAAATAAACGTAAAGGACAACATAATTCAATTATCAGCAAGATTCAGAAAAATCAAGGACAAGTGCATGACATCACCCTTCGTGCTTTAACCCTCTCTTACCAAAACAATAATCACAAGAAATAAGGGCAAAGAAATAAATGAAATCACAAAAAAATCCCAGCATGGGAACAATATTACAACAATCGAATCCCGGCGAGGGAACAATATCAGAAACATCAACATCCCAGAAAGGGAGATAGCATTTAAAAGCAACAACGTCCCAGCAAGGGAGACAATATAATAATCCTCTTCTCTTTTCCTTTTTACATTTACTTCAAAACTCACTTCACAACTTGAGCCAGAGGCGGAACCAAGTTTCAAACGCAGTGGGTTCTAAATTCTAGCATTCCGACATCAGGTTTAGTAACAAGGTCTAATACCAAGAAACAGTGATGAGAAAGGAAAAGACAATGAAAAAGGAAAAGCTGATATATTTTACCATTACTACAAAGGGGAGGTTCATTTCTTTCCGTTTTCATCACAGGTAATGGTTACAGATCTTCTGTTTCTTCAAAGGTTAAAAGGCTAATGATCCGAATAGTGATTCAGCTTTCATTTGTTTGCAAATCTTGCTTATTATATAAAATATAATGATAATTTTATCTCTAAGTAGTACCCATGTAAATGCAAGTTGGTCTCACTAAAAAACTAAAAACAAGAAATTAGGACCAGTGGATCACTAAGAGAAAAACATGAACACAAAATCAGAATAGAAAAAGAAGAAGGAAGAATGGTCTAACTTCTAAGGGAGAAAGAGCACACACAGTGGAGATTTAGAGGGTATCTGGCATATTGTGGTAACAACGATTGTGGATCAACAGAGGCAGAGCAGAACCCTAATTTTTATTTTTGATTTGGGAATTTAGGTTTGTTGTTTGGAGTTGGAAGGCTTCTGTTCTTTTGTTTATTAGAAAGAAAATATTTTTATGTTTTATTTATTAAAAGAAAAAATGTTAGTCTCTGTTTAGAGGTCAAATTATGGGACAACTCTAGAATCAAATATTAAAAATTAAATTTTGCATAAAATATCAAATATAAAATATAAGATAAAAACATGAAGCAAAAAATCAGAAAATAAGAATTGAAGAAGGAAGAACTAAGAAGGGTCTAACTTCTAAAGGATAAAGAGCATACACTGATACACAGTGGAGAGTTGGAGGGCGTCCGCCAGATTGTGGTACCAGTGGTTGTCAATCAATCGGAGGCAGAGGCGCAGAACAACTGAGCAGAACCCTAGTTTTTTTTGTGATTTGGGAATTGGAAGAAAACATTTGTGTTTAAAGTTGGAAAGCTTCTGGTCTTTGTTTATTAGAAAGAAAACAAGTTGTTGTGTTTTATTTATTAAATAATATTAGTGTAATGTTTGTTGAGAGAAAAGTCAGAAGAAACGTTAAAGTTGGGAAGCTTATGATTTTTGTTTATTAGAAAGAAAACAAGTTGTTATGTTTTATTTATTAAATAATGTTACTTTAGTGTTTGTTGACGGGAAGCTTATGATTTTTGTTTATTAGAAAGAAAACAAGTTGTTATGTTTTATTTATTAAATAATGTTACTTTAGTGTTTGTTGACGGGAAAATAGTTATTAAAAAATGTTAGTTTAGTGTTTGTTGAGTGAAAAGTAGAAGAAACGTCGTCGTTCACATTTTGATTTGTTAGTAACGTAAACAACAACAAAATAAAATACTGCCTTAAATGGGAATCGAACCCACATCTTTTCCAAAAGAACCCACAACCCTTACCATTGAACCCAAACCTCTTTTGTTACTGGGTTCATCATGGTATATTTATATAGATGTGACAAATTTTTCAATACAAATTTGGGGTCTCGGAAAAAGTCACTGGGTTCGTCCGAACCCACACCCACTACTGTACATCCGCCCCTAACTTGAGCCAATGCTCTATAAGGTTCAATTGCCAATTATACTTCCACAATTTATTTTACAACTTGAGCCAACACTCTTCAATATTTAAATACCCATATTACTTCTACAAGCCTTGCTCAACAATAGAAATCATCACAAAAAGGCATGAACAATACAAACAGAGTCACATTAATCATAGTATAAGATTCACAGGCATGCTTGACACCAACGTATAGATACTCGTCACCATGCTTATACGTCGTACTCAACTAATAACACATAGCAAATGGGACAAAACTCCTAATCCCTCAAGCTAAGGTTAGACCAAACACTTACCTCGAACTTTCACGGCCAACTCAAGCCTCAAACACCGCTTTTCCTTTAGAATTCGCCTCCAAACAACTCGTATCTAGTCCAAGTTGATTTCACAACATCAATAAATGCTAAAGAATTCATACCCAATGCTTAATTATAGGTTTTCTATCATTTTCCCCAAAAAGTCAAAAATCATCCCTGGGCCCGCTTAGGCAAAACTCGAGGTTCAGACCAAAACCCGATCACCCATTCACCCACGAGCCCAAAAATGCAATAAGTTTCAAAATTCGACCCCAAAACGAGGTCTAAATCCCAATTAATCAAAGCCCTAACTCTACCCAAATCCTCAATTTTCTACCATTAAAACCCTAGGATTTTAGATAAAAGTTGATGAAAAACATTAGAGAGTTGAAAGAAATCAGTTAATGAACACTTACTTATGAATTGGGAAGAAAATCTCTTGAGAAAATCGCTCTAGGCCTTCTATTTTTATGAAATTTGGAAAGAGAAAATGCTGAAGTTTTGTTTTAAAAGACTCCACTGCCCGACTCTCGCACCTGCGGTGCTTGGGTCGCACCTGCGCAGTCGCACATGCGGAAAATAGACCGCTTCTGCGGAAATGATTAGGCCCACTGGGGCCGCATCTGCGAGGGGAGACCCGCTCATGCGGAACCGCTTCTGCGGAAGCTTGTTCGCATCTGCGAGAGGCTGGACCGCACCTACGACCCACTATTCGCACCTGCGAGCTCGTACCTGCGGTGCTTGACTCGCAAATGCGGTTACACCAGAACTGATGCAATAACAATGTTTTCCTAAGCTTAAACACCTCGGAACCTACCCGAAACTCACCCGAGCCTTTGGGGCTCCAAACCAAACATGCATACTAACTCAAAAACATCATATGAACTTATCCGTGCGATCAAATCGCCAAAATAATATCTTAAACAACAAATTTAGCATAGAAATCTAAGAAAAATCTCAAAACTTTTAAAGTATCAATTTTCACGACTACGAGTCCGAATCACATCAAATGACTTTCGTTTCTTACCAAATTTTACAGGCTCGATTTAAACCACATATAAGACCTGTACCGGGCTTCAAAACCAAAATACAGGCCCGGTACCATCAACTTCCAAACATTTTTTATTTCTAAAAACTCATATATATTTCAGAAAATAATTTTCTTTAAAAATTCATTTCTCGGGCTTGGGACCTCGGAATTCGATTCAGGGCATACGCCCAAGTCCCATATTTTCCTACGGACCCTTCAAGACCGTCAAATCACAGGTCGGGGTCCGTTTACCCAAAATATTGACCGAAGTCAACTTAATTAATTTTAAAGGCAAAATTCATCATTTTTCACAGATTTTCACATAATGGTTTTCCGGCTACGCGCCCGGACTATGCATGCAAATCAAGGTGAGACCGAAAGAGGTTTTTTAAGGCCTCAGAACATAGAATTTTATTTCGACACATCTAGCAATACTCCTTAACGACCGAATAGCATGAAGTATACAATTTACTCTCAAGAACTAGTAGAAGAATAATGTAGTAATTCCTTCTATCATTATAGCTCTGGATCACCCTAGGATATGATTCAACTATCAAATCCTAATAGGCGACCAACTATGTGTTCATGTCAAATATAATCGACCATTGAATGACCTAAGAAACTCATTTCTTCTTTCATTCAATTCCTTTGGCCAAAGTCTTAGTTTGGTCGTTTATAATTCATGACAACATGGAGCTTAAACTCATTACCAAGAGTTGACATATTCCATCTTGATCAATCACTAATTCTACAAGTATTTAATCGTACCCAATATCCTTTCAACTATCGCTCTAGGGCCATATGTGTCTGGTATCAAAGCACAATAAATAACTTGTCAATTACTATGACGATCTTAGGTCAAAGGAAACTCTTACATCACATTCTTCAAGAGAATATCCTATTGACAGTTTATGGTAATTCTAACCATTAAGAATTATCCAATGAGTCGCTTCAATGATCATATCTCTATATGCATCATCTATCTATGTAATTTAGTTAATGAGATCAACTAATCTTTATCCCATAAAGACGATCACATAAATATTGATCTAACCGGATTACTAATGTCCAAATTAATAATCCTACGATCAAGAACAAATTTAGATTAAATTATAAGAAACTTTACTCTCATTATCATGATCTCCAACACGATGACAAGTCTCAAAATTTAATCAAGGACCTTATCAAATAAATCAAGCAATTAATAATAATGATAAAAGAATATCAAATGCCATATATATTTTATATCAAATAACATTCACAAAAATATATTCAAATCATCAAATATGATATTGGATCTAGGGCGTATCTACTATATCCCTAACAAATCCAACGTATCATAATGTTTATGATAATTCAAACAAAAATTAGCTATGTATAAATTATTTAAAAAGACAGAATAACTTTTGTTTAATTTTTATCCTTTTTATTTACTTTATAAACAAGAACAAAATTGTACAAATTATGTCTGGTATATTATACTCTTAATGCATTAAATCAAACGGAGGCAAAAAAATACTAGGTGATTTCTTCCATCTATCCGAGCCTTAATGTATAAACTTACCTTACTCTATGGGGTAAAATATGTTCATATTTTGATTGCATGAAAAAGCGACATGTGGAGCCAAAGACAAAAGATAGTCAAACCCGAAGGCAATGATCTCACTTGTCATCAGAGAGAATGATACTCATAAAGACAAAATAAATGTCGCCGTCTGATAACATTCAGTGAAGAATATTCTACAGTATTACATGCATGATACGTTACAGAGAATATATCATTAAATGCCCACCAGTACACATTTTTTAATGTCCCTCATAATTGTCATTAAAGAGGAACTTGATCATAGGACCTTTGTTACCTAGCTGTAACTATAAATAGTAAGTTCTATAATCATTGTAAAGAGGAATTTTCCAAGAAGTATACATTATACATTATAGTGTACTCTATCAAAAGCTCAATAACATTTTACTTTCTTGCTTATTTATATTTTTCTTACTTCTTCCGGAACTAAGATATTTGCCGATTCATTTCAATATGAAGGTTAAGTTTTATATTTTTACCTAATTTATCTATTATTTTTGGATTAAATTAATTTACTTATTTATAAATCATGTATAAATTCGTATCGTTTTACGGGTAAACATATGGCAAGTATCCGTGAAACTAGTGCGTGTAAGTAAATCAAACAGAAATCAAACCTTTCTCTCTTCTAAAATTATATAAGGAAATGGTTGAACGTAGTTTAATTAAATAGAAAAACCGAAACTGAAATTATAATTGGGTTGGGGAACTATTTTCCCCTTTTCTTTTCTTCAGTTTATAATAGTAGACAAAACTTGCCTCAAAACAATAATCCCTCGCTCTCCTGCACTCGCCCTTTCTCTTCTGTAGATGTTGTAATTTTCTTTCAAGTTTTACATTCTAATTTCTAAGCGGGGTTTAATTAGGGTTTTACACTCAGCTATGTCTTCTACCCTTGAAATCGAAGCTCGAGAGTAAGTTCCAATTTTAATTATATAAGTATATGTTTTTGTTTTTATGAGCACTGTGTATATAATGATTATATGTTTTTCTTTGCTTGCAGTGTGATTAAGATAGTTCTTCAATTTTGCAAGGAGAATTCATTGCATCAAAGTTTTCAGGTTTTACAAAATGAGTGCCAAGTTTCACTGAATACAGTGGATAGTCTTGAAACATTTGTTGCTGATATTAATAGTGGAAGATGGGATGCAGTATTACCTCAAGTTGCTCAACTTAAGCTTCCTAGACATATACTTGAGGATTTGTATGAGCAGGTATTCACCTTCTCTACGATCTTGTCAACAGTGACGGAGCCAGTAATTTTTATAAGGGGATTCAGAAAATACTGTAGAATGTTATAGTTGAGATTTGAACTTGTGATCTAAATCAATTTTTGAATCCCCTTTACCATTACCTTAACTTTTTTTTTTGGGGGATAAAGTCCCCTTTACCACTACCTTATGCAAGGGGATTCAACAGTTTATATATAGTAATTTAACAGAATTTTTTTTTTTTTTACCATATTTGCATAGAATAATTTTTTGATGAAGGGGATTCAATTGAACCCCCTTTGCTCTTATTTGCCCTCCCTCTACACACAAGTAGGAGTGATTTATGCATAGTCATTTAGGTTCACGCCTTGTG